ATCTCTCCATCTTTACAGCCTTTTTTTGACATGTAAAGACCTTCTTCTGTCAGACCCCTGGGCTGATAGGATTGCCTCTGGGATCACAGTCATGCAAGGTTGGAACTGTGTCACCTGACTGCTGCTGGGTCCTCAGTTGGGTCTGCAAACCACAAGCCTATTATCAGGTGCATGATAGTCCTGGCTCCTGCTGGGTCACTGGACAGGTCCCTGCATGGGCAGTACTTTCCCTGAACCACAGCTGAGAGGAGATGGAGCCAGGTCACAGGGTCATTTCAGGATCCACAGTTGGACCAAGGTCAGCCAGCCTGCTTCCTAGGCACTGAAGGGTGTGTCTCCTGGTAGGTCCCTGGGTGGGCAAGACTGCTCCCAGACCACAGCTGATGCTGGAGCCAGATCACAGTGCTTCAGGCTCCACAGCCCTAAACAAGGTTAGCAGGCCTATTACCCAAGGCTCACGTGGGCATGATTCCTTCCAGGTCCCTTGGCTGATGGTGCTATTCGCAGGACCAATACTAACCAGAGCTAGAGCCAAATCGACAAGGGGATGAGGCTGTTTTCTGGTAATACATTATATGTTAAAAAAAAAAAAAAAAGAAGAAGAAGAAGATAGCAGGAAGGGAAAAATGAAGGGGGGGGGATCAAAGGGGAAGACAACCATGAGAGACTATGGATTCTGAGAAACAAACTGAGGATTTTAGAGGGGAGGAGGGTGGGGGGATGGGTTAGCCTGGTGGTGGGTATTAAAGAGGGCACGTACTGCATGGAGCACTCGGTGTTATATGCAAACAACAAATCATGGAACACTACATCAAAAACTAATGATGTAATGTATGGTGATTAACATAATAAAAAAAACATTCAGGTCCTTTGCCTATTTTCCAATGCAATTATTTGGTTTTTTTGTTTTTGTTTTTTTGCTATTGAGTTGTAGGAGTTCCTTATATATTTTCAATATGAACACCTTATTAGATATGTGGTATCAGATAAATATTTTTTCTTCCATTCCATAGGTTGCCTCTTCATTCTGTTTGTTTCTTTGCTATGCAAAAGCTTTCCAGTTTGAAGTAGTCCCACTTGTTAATTTTTGCTTTTGTTATTTGTACTTTTGGTGTCAGATACAAAATAAAAACAAAAAAATTGCCAAGACCAATTTTAAGGAGCTTCTTTGCTTTGTATTTTTCTATATGTTTGTTAGGTCTATTTATTCGTTTTCTTTAGTGGTGTCATGTGTGCCTGCTTTGTGATCTGTCAGGCTTATGTTTGTCTCTTTGTGTTTGAAGGAGCAAATATCTCTCCATCTTTACAGCCTTTTTTTGACATGTAAAGACCTTCTTCTGTCAGACCCCTGGGCTGATAGGATTGCCTCTGGGATCACAGTCATGCAAGGTTGGAACTGTGTCACCTGACTGCTGCTGGGTCCTCAGTTGGGTCTGCAAACCACAAGCCTATTATCAGGTGCATGATAGTCCTGGCTCCTGCTGGGTCACTGGACAGGTCCCTGCATGGGCAGTACTTTCCCTGAACCACAGCTGAGAGGAGATGGAGCCAGGTCACAGGGTCATTTCAGGATCCACAGTTGGACCAAGGTCAGCCAGCCTGCTTCCTAGGCACTGAAGGGTGTGTCTCCTGGTAGGTCCCTGGGTGGGCAAGACTGCTCCCAGACCACAGCTGATGCTGGAGCCAGATCACAGTGCTTCAGGCTCCACAGCCCTAAACAAGGTTAGCAGGCCTATTACCCAAGGCTCACGTGGGCATGATTCCTTCCAGGTCCCTTGGCTGATGGTGCTATTCGCAGGACCAATACTAACCAGAGCTAGAGCCAAATCGACAAGGGGATGAGGCTGTTTTCTCGTCTATATCCAGGACCTGGCTTTTCAGGGTGCAAAAAGGAAAAGGACAGGCCAGGAAGAACAATTAGAGTTGGTAAATTCTGTGCTTTAGCTTTTGTGAATACAAGTCTTTTTTCTTTGGTGTGCTTTTCAATACAGCTCTCCTTGGTGGCTCCACTGAGGTTTCTCACCTCCTACTTGGAACACAAAGCTCCCACATAGAAACTTGTGTCCATGGATGGCTGCTAAAATGATTGTTTCTGTGGGGGTTTATGAGCAGGGGACCTCCTATTCCACCATCTTGCTGACCCGTAACAAACATTTTAAGGCTAAAATGATAGTATTCTCTAATAGTTATTGGACGACCTATGATAGACAATACTTCTCACATGGAGCTTGTATCACCTTTCCTGAAAAGCAAAAATCCACATTTGATATATATCTCTGTGGTGTTCCTCCTGGGCTATGAAACTCTCAGGGTTTCAGAAGAAAATCATACATCAAAAACCACTATGCCAAAGATCCTCAGGTGCCAGGCTCCCCCATCTTGCCTGGTTCAATTTAGTCCTACAACTTCTACTTCCATTTTTACATGTTTTTATAAGCCCTTTCCCATCAAACCTAATGTTTCAAGAAACATAATAAAACACCAGGAAAGTGGAATGGAAAACAGGGACATTTAATTTATTCTCATTGGGCTGAAAGGCAAGTAAGGAATATGAATCCTGCAGTTTGGGATAGGAAACAAAGAACATTATTTCCTCTTCCTTTTTCCTTTCAAGTCTTCTTCCTGGCTGATCAGAATTTTTGGACAAATACGTTTGACCACACCCCCTGATATTGCATAATATTTGCTTAAGTGAAAGTGGCTGAGGCAAACTAAGGGAGGAGCTCTCATTACCCTCTGCCATCACCCAATAAATAGCCAGACAAGCTCTCACCATTACAGAACACTGTTGGAGAGATGAGACAATCCCACCAGCTGCCCCTAGTGGGGCTCCTATTGTTTTCTCTTATTCCAAGGCAACAATGTGAGATCTGCGGTGAGTATGTGTTGGGCTAAAATTACTCCTACTGTGATAGTCTTCTAAAGTCTACTGGCAGGGAACTTGTTTAGAGTGACCTGAAGAAAGACCCTATTTCAGTTCTATTTGTGGTTGGACTCTATGAGTAATGTAAAATGTGGGAGGACATGGTGAGGAAAGTTCCATAATGTATGTGGTTTTAAGAGGGATCGTAGATTCGATGCTAACTTGCCTAACTGTTGTTCCTATATGGAGATTTTCTCCACCATAGCAACCCTACCAAGCAACTGTCTATTCTTCATTTTCAATGATAGAATATTCATGATCCTAGAAATTTTTCAAGATCATAGAAAGTTTTCTTTTGAATTTGAGATGCAATCTATTTTTCTGAAGTTCAACCCATGGGTTTTGGGTTAACCCTTTATAACTACACAGAAAAAAAAATAGTGTTAATAATCCCTGTCAAATAATGAAGACCTCTCTTGTCATTATTGAGTTTAGATGTTCCAAGCTACACGTCTCCCTCCCTCCACCTCTTCTCCATAGGACACAGGTATAAGCTCATCATCTCTTCTGGGTATAGGATACTGAGATTGTATGATTCTATTAAAAAATACTAAGTAGGAGAAAGAAAAACTGGTTCAGGTGTAGTCCGACCCCTTACTAGCTGAATGATCTAATGTTCCTAAATTTCTTTAGCGTCATCCATAAGTTGAGGATAATTGGGGAAAGGTGTTGAAGCAAGTGATGTCATGAAGCCTGGTATAGCTCTCAGGTGCATTATTTCTCTTTTTTATGTCTTTACCCTGGAATTGAGCTTAAACACAGTCCAAAGATGACTATGTGGTGCCATGGGTGGCTACATGCTCCTGGTATTCTGTAGCCTACAAGAAGAGGTCAACACCACAATAGAAAGACTTGTGTTCACACAAGCCAAAGCACAAACTCTGCCAACTCTAATTTCTCTTCCTGGCCTGTCATTTCTTTTGTTGTATCCTAAGAATAGAGGGTCTCTGTGAAGGTTTTGAAGTTTAATTCATTGTACAAAATAATTAACTTTGTCTTTAGTGGTCAAGGAAACTAATGAGTGGTTGACCAGGAACTGAAAAGTCTGTTTCAGTGCCAGAAAATCTGCTGAACTGGATGCTTCCACAAAATCTCGCCATGACCCAACAATCGTCCAACTGTTCTTGTAACAAACCAGGACTTTTCTACAACCACTAGTTCAGATCTCCCTGACTCTCTTTTAAAGAGAAGAAAGATGGAGGGCATCTGGCTGACTCAGTCAGTAGAGCATGTGACTCTTGATCTCGGGGTGGTGATTCTGAGCCCCACATTGGGGGTAGAGAAATCACATTGCCTCAGTTCTCTAAATATAGTGATAGAAACTCCAGCTGAGCTAAAAGTGATAATATGTGTGGTATTTTACAGTTTGTTAAGTGACTCCTTGTCCAATATCTATAAAATAGGTGTTAATATCCACAATTTTATTTTTTTAAATATTTTGTTTATTTATTTGACAGAGAGACAGATAGCGAGAACAGGAACACAAGCAGGGGGAGTGGGAGAGGGAGAAGCAGGCTTCCCGCCGAGCAAGGAGCCCGATGCGGGGCTTGATCCGAGGACCCCGGGATCATGACATGAGCCGAAGGCAGACGCTTAACAACTGAACCACCCAGGCACCCCTATCCACAATTTTAAAATGGGGAAACTGAAGGTCAGGAAAGTTACATAAGACACCCATAGTGGTAAGTTAAGTACCACAGAATCCAGCCAAGGTCTGATTGAACACAGGGCTCATGCTCTTCTCAGTAACCTAATAACCCAAGAGATAATCTGGAGATGGGTAGGTTTTGTCTTGCTTGGGAGTGTTAACAAGGTACATTTTTTTTCTTGCTTGGGAGTGTTAACAAAGTACAGTTTTTAAAATTTTTTTGTTTATTTATTTATATTTTTTTATTATGTTATGTTAGTCACCCTTCAGTACATCATTAGTTTTTGATGTAATGTTCAATGATTCATTATTTGCATATAACACCCAGTGCTCATTACAACACGTGCCCTATTTTACAGAGAGAGAAAGCAACCATGAGCAGGGGGAGGGGCAGAAGGAGAAAGAGAGAAAGAATCTCAAGCAGACTCTAAGCTGAGCACAGAGCCCAACCCAGAGATCAATCCCACCACCCTGAGATCATGACCTGAACTGAAATCAAGAGTTGGCTGCTCAACCAATTGAGACACTCAGGTGCCCTGAACAAAGTACATTTAAAAATGTTTTAAGTGGTCATTAATTCTTCTAATTTTCCTCTAGTTCTTGGGGTCTCTGGACTCTCTTTTTACTTCCACAGTAGAATGTGACTCTCCCTGTCCTTTCTCCTGAGATTTGGACATAATGTAGGCTAAGACTAGAGGGTTTTCTGAAAGGTGCATGCTGCCGAATAATGATCTTGATGCCAGGTCGGTTGGGCAACCAGACAATTCAGCTTTGGGGTCAATCACCACTGAAACATAGAACTGTTGTGTTGTTTCCCTCAGTATTAATCTGATTGATTTAGAAGAAGATGGAGGAAGGAAAGAACTCAATCCAGCAAGTAGAAAGGACTGGGATTCAGAAGACATGTATTCTAGTCTCCATTAAGCCTTCAATTAAGGAGGTTTTTTTTGTTTGTTTGTTTTTGTTTTTTTTTTTAAGGACATCCTGGTCAGGCCTCATCCTCAAAATTAGTGAATGATACTAGATCTCCCAGGCAAGATGGATGTTCTGTCAGTACACATTAATACAGCTGAAACAGCTGTTAAAACATGGAAACATTTCCATCCTGGTTGGTAAAGGAGTAATACCTGACATAGCAGAGACTCCAGACTCATCTTTGTATTGTTCCAGCAACATAGCCAGTGACCACTGGATTGCTCTGTCTGTGCCATATCTGTTACTTAACATTTTAATACCAACCCCATTGCCAGTGTTCCTGTTCCTTAATATTTTCTTAATGTATATTTCTTATCTCCTCCTTACCCTGCCACAGAGGTAAGCAAGGAATACTATACTGCTCTAAACCCTCTGATAAGCACAATGATCACTTCAAAATATACCAAAGGAATCCATGCTGCCAATGTCCTGCTGTCCCTCAGACTTGGTGGGATCCTGAACCCAAACCAAGAACAACAGCTGATCCAACAAGTCAATATCGCTGTGGAAAATAAAAGTGAGTACCTACATCTCTGGAAAATTTAGAAGAAGACTTATCTATCCATAAAGATTCTCTCCAGCCACAGATCCTCGGACAAAATTGTGTGTCCAAAGTGCCCCTGCTACATCTATCCTAGCTGTATAAAACTTGAGGGGACAGAAAGGTACCTCAAAACATCAATCCTCTGCCATTTACTCTATGTCTAGGCCTTACTTGAGTCCTGAAAAACATTTTCCTTCGAAAGGTACAAGGATAAGCAAAAGAAATTAAAGACTCTCATTCACTAACACTATTATATAAGCTAGCTGAGTTGACAACCAGACAAGGATGTGACCCACACATAAGAAAACTGACAATGGCAAGGGAATCACAGGGAAATAGAGATGAGGACTGGGGTTTTTTGTTTGTTTGTTTTTCTCTGTTTTTGCTTTGTTTTGTTTAAAGAGGGAGGGGGGAACAGATGGAGAAGAAGAGAGAGAATCTTAAGCAGGCTCCATGCTCAGCATTCAGAGCCAAATTCGGGGCTCAATTCCACAACCCTGAGACCATGACCTGAGCCAAAATCAAGAGTCAGACACTTAACCAACTGAGCCACCCAGGCGCCCCAGATGAGGACTGGGGTTGAATGCAGGATCCGCCCTGAGTCCTTCATGTCAATACTGAGCCTTAGCTTTCTAACTGAAATAAGGGGAAAATTAAACCACCACTACCTACCTCACAATATTACTGTAAGAATTAAGAGAAGCCTGAGAATTTTGATGTTCTATAAGGCAGAAGATCTAAGTCAATTATTACTATCTTGGCAAGATGGCACCCACAGAGAATAAGTCCCAAGGTTTTATTATCTATTTTTCTTCTTTTAAAATTTTTTAAGGATTGTGTGATTCCAAAAACATCTCATGATTTCATGGAGAAGACTAAGATCTAGTTTGCATTTATACAGCACTGCTAGAAAAGTCTCTGCTTTGGGAATAAATAAGAGAACAGTAAAATATTTGTACTGAGTGGGAAAAAAGAACTGACAGGCAATGTAAGTCACGAGAAAGACAGGAGGCCAAAGAAAAATCACAAGCATGTACCTTGTTAAACTTGAATACTTTTCTTTTCAGAGCCATCTTTAACCTCAGGACAGCTTGCATTGGCTATACTGGCTTTGGGAGCATGTAAAGGGCCTGACGGAATTTGTATCAATTATTCTGAACTGATCAAAATATTAGGAAATAAATACAAAGCAGAAATTAAAAATATGGGTAAGACTCAAATCTTCAGAGATCCTGGACAACGTTGTCCTCTCTTCCACTGGTTCAGAACTGAACAACTAGTTTCCCTTTGGTCTTTCCTTCTCTTCATTCTACTCATCCCACAATCTTTGCAGATCACTTTCCCTTCTTCCCTCCTTCAACATGTGTCTTGAATTTTTTTTCTTTTAAAGATTGTGATTTTTATTTATTTGACAGAGAGAGAGCACACACACACATGGGGAGTGGTAGGCAGAGGGAGAGGGAGAAGCAGGCTCCTTGCTCAGCAGGGAGCCTGATGCAGGGCTCAGTCATGACCCTGGGATCATGATCTGAGCCGAAGGCAGACATCTAACCAACTGAGCCACCCAGGCACCCCAGCGTCTTGAATTTTCCTTCCAAATAAGTTCAAATGAGCACCAATTCTACATCAACCTTACAAATGATGATGCACACACACACATAAACACACACACACGGCACTGTTCTCTTGTTCTCTAGATGCTTGGTTTTTAGACAAATAATGAAATACATCAGAAATAGCTGAGTAACACAAGACACCGTCAGAAGTACCAAAGCATATGATACTAGTAGAAGAACTAAAGCCAAAAGTACTTTAACACTGGGAAAAATAGGCTGACCATGACGGCTGCTAGTGAGGTGCAGTTTTTATTTACCCTATTATTCATTAAGCCTGTCTAATCCCATCTTCTTTTGAGATGGCCTCTACTTCTATTCCACTTACAGTTTGAACACATTACCATTGAAAGTGCAAGAGGCTTGGTGGGGGAGGCAGATCTGTGTTCTAGTCCTAGTTCTGTAACCACCTGAGTATCAGAATGGTATTTTAATCTCTTTAGTGCTGAGTCTCCTCTGTTATAAAATGAAAGGAATTGAGTTGAATTTGGTGGCTCTTAACAGGTTTCACATTTCTCAGATTTGCTGATTCTTTGAGCGATCTTCCCCCCTCTATTACTCACCCTTCTTAAATGTAAAGAAATTCAAACAAAGCAAATATGTATAGATTGAAAATTTATTACTCCAGTATTCTTTCCATGAGTAAGGTATTTCTTTCCTTTCTGACAGAAGACCATGATGGTAATCCACTGACTAACTACTACCAGCTCAGCCTGGACATTTTGGCCTTGTGTCTATTCAGTGGGAATTACTCAATCACCGAAGTTACTAAAATCTTGGATCCTGAAAGTAAAAATTACTATTTTCATGAACAGTTCTCAGTAGGTGAGTCATTACACCCAATTCCCTTGGCATAGAGGACACAGTCCCTGGTAAGTCTTTTCCTTTGAGTTTTTCTACCAGTAAATACATTGACTTTTTTTTTTAATCCTCTTTACCCTAGCAATCATGGAAGAGAATTTTCTTTTTGAGAAGAATGGATATTGGGAGGCATTTAAACATCTTCCTAGATGTGTACTATGGTAGAAAGATCCAGTTGCTACCTTACCGTTCTTTGAATTATATAATCAATGGATGTTAACTTTGACCTTATTTTTCCCATCTGTAAAATAAGGATAGATTGTGAGAATCTTCATATAAGACATTTTAGGAAGTATAAGTATTAGAGAAAGGAAAACAGTGGAATTCATTTATCTTAACTTTGCCTCTTTCTCAAATTTATTGGGATATTTTGCATGTGTGGGCTTACATGGACAACACAACCTCTCCAGGACAAGGCCCAATATTTTGAACAATAAAGTCTGTATCCCCAATAGAGAAGAACTAGAAATTTTCTCCTGGGTCAGCTTACACACCCAAAAAGAAGCCCCCTCTAGACAGCTAGTATTGTTGCTCATCCCTATGGCTCCAGATACACAAGCTCATCTTTCTCCAAGAAATCCGAAAATCACCACTCAGTATCTCTGTAACAAGGAGAATGTGAGATTTCTTTCTATGTGAAGGGGAAAGTATCATACGTAAAGAATGTCAGGGAAACCAAATAACAAGCCAGAAAAAGACCTTATCCTCCCTTCTTCCAATCTCTTGTTTTATCCTCCCCCTTAAGAAGCTTTATTGGAAAACAATTCTCTTAAGTGCTATTTGCTAATCAGCCTAATGGAAACATTGGAACATGGCAAAGACATATTTTATTTGGGGTATCATTCTGACTTATCTCAATTCCTTTGCCAATTTGGCTGAGAGATGAAAAAAATGAAAACAACCAAGATGTAGAAGTGGAAGACTGTTCATGTGTATGCACCTGCAAATCCATGTGTTTCTATGACCAACAGGTGAGTTATTGAGTATGAAGTATGGGGTTACTCAACATAAGAAATGGATCTTGAAATATTTGAGTGGTTAGTGCTGGAGGGATGATTGCTATATCTTCAAATCCTTCTCTCCCATCAACAACTAGCATGACCAATCTTCCCAGTTTGCCCAGATCTGTTCCTCTTTTAGCATTGAAAATCCTACATACCAGGAGACCCCTCAGTCCAAGGAATGGTTGGTCACCCTATCACCAATGTTTTGTTTCCTGGCAGATACTGGCGCGATGGCTGTCCTGGCTCTGACCTGTGTGAAAAGAAGTATAACAAGTGGGCAGAACAAAATAGATACAAAGGATTTAGAGACTATTGATAATCATATGGAGTCACTGATAGCTAAGATTCTGTCTCAGAAAAAAGAAAATGGTCTCCTTGGAAACATATATAGTACAGGAGAAGCTATGCAGGTAAGTCAGGGTAAAACAGGAGACAGAGGAGAGTCATGAAGAAAAGAAATAGCTTTCTTCTTGGCCCCCTAAGATATTACCCATTCTGTTTCCTATACTGTTTTTATGTGATTCTGCTCCCGACAGAAATGTATTCTCCTCACCTTCAATCCTTACCTTTCCATGTCCAATGCTTCCATGAAGCTTTTCCTAACTACAACTTTTTAACGAAATTCTAGAGTCCACTACAACCTACTATGTTGTTCTATCAAATGTAATCTCACAGTTTACCATACACCAGCATTTGGTGCTTGCCTCTTACCTCCCAAATTAGATTATTAGATTATTGTTGTCCAAGTAATTAAGAGGCAATGCCAGTAATACCAGCTAGTCTTTATTGCCATGCTCATTAACACACACAACAACCCAGTGAGGAAAATATTATTACCTCCATTTCCCAGAATGAGAGCATGAGTCATGGAGTATCAGCAACTTGCCTGACATTACAAAGCCAGAAAGTGATTCAGATGGGGATGGAAATGAAACAGCTGGTATCAAAACTCATACTCAACACCAACACTCAACACCCTGTTCTGTATATGTTCCTTGAAGTCTGGGGCTTTATTCCTGCGTATTCACTGATTTACTCAACTCTAAGGGGTAGATACAAGAAGAGACAAAGGAAAATTTACAGAAAAAATTTCACTGAGTCTTTAGTATGAGTAGGAGTCTGCCACCCACCCCAGGATGAGAGGGCTTCCCGGGGGAAAGAGGACAACAAAGACAAAGACCAGAGGTACAGAAGAACATAACATATTTTAGGAAGATCAAGGTGTTCAATGTGGCCAGCACAGGGCCTTGGGGAAAATTACCAGAAGAAGCTGGGGTGTAACAGGGGTCTGATCACACAGGTTGTTTTTACTGTTGGTGCTGGTGAGGCTGTTGCCTTTCTGCTGAGTTTGGACTTCATAAAACAGTGGTTGCCCATTCTGGCTACAAGTTTGAATCACCTGGAGGAGCTTTTGGGAAACACTAAAGTTTAGACTCCACACCAGAAACTTAGAGGTGGAGCATGGCCCTTGGTCTGGTTTCAAAACCGTGTAAGTGTTGTTAATTTACAGCAGGCTTGAGAGCTGCTTGGCTACAAGACAGTTTTCAAGAGGAAATTAAATATGATCCTTTTTTTTAATATCCCACAAGTGCTTGTTGACATCTTCGTTAACTTAAAGGATCTTCTGAAGAAAATGAAAGGAGGAACTGTCCTTCCCTGAGAAACTACAGAATGATGTCCGCAGGCCCAGCCCATTTTAGTCCTTGTCTTACTCTGATACCCTAACTTTTCCTACCCCATCATGCTGTCCCCTCCAGTTCACATCTGCTGCTTGGATAGTTTCTATACAAGAATCTATTGGACTCCCCATTGTTAGGGAAATAATGTCAGACACCTCACCCTGAAGCTCGAAGATCCACCAATGTGACCCCAACCTCATTCTCAAGCCTGTTTTTTCACAATCACCCTGAGTCTCCCCTGTATACCAGCCTCCCAGGCCAGGAGGAATCCTCTGAGGATTTTGCTAAAATATAGAGAGTGTTATCACGGGCAGGCCATGCCCTGGCTGCACCTATCTTAGCACGCTTGATCACACGGTTCCCTCTGGGTATAGTACTCCTCCCCTCAAGTCCCCTACTGAAATGCCTATATACTGTCAAGACCTACCTCAAGTACTGCCTCTCCACAAAGGCTTTCTTCAGCGTCACTAAATGTTTATGTGCTCTTCCTCTTCTGAAAGACCATGGCACTAGATGTTTCTCTTAAGGCATTCACCTGAGGGGCTCTTTTATGATTGTCTGTTAACAGCATTTATCAAGCGCCTCTATGTGACAGGTATTCTTCCAGTGTCAAGGCTACAAGAGTGAATATGGTAGAGACAGCCTGTTCTCATCGATGCCATTATTGGTTGTGTTCTTAAGCAATTCCCCACCTCCCCCCAAACTAGTTTATAAATTTCTTGGTGGCAGGGAAGGTATCCTAGTTGTCCAAGGTGCTTCCCCTGTGGTCAATGACCCATAAATATTTACTGAATTCGTTACATGTAGGCTTTTCCCTTATTTGATTTTTCTGTAGTTCATTCTCATTCCCTCTCATTCTCTCTCTCACACATTAGGCTCTCTTTGTCTCATCAGACTATTACAATAAAAATCAATGGGATTGCCAAAAAACACAGGATACAGTGCTCACAGAAATTTCTCAAGGAGCATTCCGTATGCCAACTGCTGCAGCTCAAATCTTACCAGCCCTGATGGGAAAGACCTACTTGGACATTAACAAAGACTCTTCTTGTGTCTATGGCTCAGGTAGAGTACTAAAGAGCATATTACCCAAAGCATGCGAGACTAAGGTGTCCTTAGGGACCAAAAGTGACCAGATAAACCACTAAAGCATAACAGTTCCCAGATAGAACTCGGTCCTCCATGTGTCACCAGTGATTATAACCACCTGAGGATCTGTTCTTAACAAGGTAATAGATGTTGTTCTTGGTTCAAACATGGATAAACAAGGTAGACTTGATTCAATGATGTCTATCTCCAAAAGCATGTTTTCTCATGGCCAGCTAGACAGATGTTCTGAGCATCATTCCCATTCTAAGCAAAGTATGGTGTCTCTGACTCTCACTCAAAATGAGTGAGCCCTCGGGGAGCTCAGAGGAATATGGGAGGAATATGGCAGTGTCATAAGAAAATTACAGCATGAATCATTTATTCAAATAACTGATTTTTCAACTAGGGATGAAAGAAGACTTGACTTTTATCTCTGCTCATTCCTGGTTCAGCCACTTTCAGGTTTAGGGACCTCAGAAAAAAATGTTAATCCCTAAACTTCAGTTTACTAATATAAAAAAATGCACATGGTAATAGTATCTAACATGGGTTTTTGTAAGGACTGAATAAGATAAGCCATGTAAAATGATTAGTACAGTGCCTGGCACTTAATATGTTTTCAATAAATCTTAAGAAATAAAAAAGGTACCCAAAAAAAGGGAAGCATTATTGTATGCAATACAATAGCAGAGCAAAACAAAACAACCAAAAACAACAACAAAACCCCCAAAACTCAGGAGCCTCTGTGAGAAACGGGAGACAGGGCAATTGAATTGCTTAAACAGCTGGGAGTGGAGCCAAATACACTCATTTATAAACTGGTGCATATCTGGTTTAGTCACATGAGAGATCTGCCCCTTGGTTGATGATTCTTGCTCCTTAGAGGCTTGGGAGAGGGGTTGCATGGGTATGTAAACTCAAACATCACTTTTATTATTCTGAATAGTAATTCTTGTCTGCTTTTCTGTCTCTGCCAGATAACTTCAACATCTCCACTCAGGAGCCTATATCAGTGACACCTGCTGTCTCACACTCACAAATCGAAGTAAATTACTCTGTGGTAGTCAATAATCAAATAGATAACATCATGGTCTCTGTGGCAGATGGTTCTGTCTTCCTAGATGTGATGGAAAAAGCTCAGAAAGAAAATGCAACTCTATTTAGGTATGTCTGTATGTAACCTAAGGTGAAGGTATTTGGTGATTTTGAAAGACTCAGTAAGAATACATAAGCACCTGAATACAAAGTACATTCGAAACACTTCTTTATTGGTACTTTGCTGTCCATCTACATCTCATGGCAGGGATTAAAAAAAGGTCAGACTTTTCATCTTCTAGCACATGTAGGTATTAAATTAATATTCACTTAATGGGTGAATAAGTCCCAAGGATCTCTCCTCTGTCAGTAAAATTCCTTCAACAAATAGAACCTCTTAGGTCAATCATTTTGTGTTTAGAGCACTGGGTCATTATTATTGAATCATTGACAGCTTTCAAAATCAGATGAGGGCAGTGGATGCTGATCCCAGACAGGTAGACATACACACAAAACTTGTCCTTTAAATCAGAGGTTTCACAAATGCTTCTCCATGCTCCCACCCCTTTCAGATTCATGGACCCCTAGATTAAGTTTTCCTGGCCTAAAGAGGTCAAGTATTAAATTTAAGATATTGACTTTGCCTCTGAAAGGTATGGCTCATTTGACTCCCTAAATCTAATCAGCAATTATTTGTCCAGTAACATGATGTAAGATTCCATAGAGAAAATTACATATATGCATATATGTGTGTATATATATGTATATATACGCATATATGTATATATATATTTACATATATATATGTAAATATTATAAAGGTTGCTTTCAAAGGCTCCCAGGAAGTCAGAGAAATGTGACCAGGGAATGTGAAACAGACATTGACCATGTCACCTTTTAATAAAGACAACAGGAAATATTTAATTGTTCTTTCCTGTTCTTCTTTCCTAAGAGAAAACTTACTAATTTATGTTGCCTCTAGGACATGAGGTTAACATTTTCTTCTGCTGCTTTAGTATCTTCAACAGTGAATATCTTGGGATAGAAGATTAGTAGTTGTTGACTACAGAGTGTCTACTCTAAAGGAAGGCGGGGGCAGAAACAGGCATCATTCCTCTAAGTTAGCATAGATTGTGGAGTGCCTGCATCAGAATCTCGTGGAGTGTTTATGACACATGCAGATTTCTAGTCCCCACCCAGACCTACAAAATCAAAGTATCTGAGGATAGGGCCAGGAAATCTGCTTTTTTTGATAACTGCTTCAAATGATTCTTAGGTACATTGAAGTTTGAGAAATGCCCATTAAGGTTGCCTTTGAAAATTCTAAGTTCCTGTAACCCATTTATTGTCCCCACAGTTTCACAGCAGAGGAGACCTCATGGGGCCCCTATATCACCGCTGTTCGGGGCATAAAGGCCAACAATAATGACAGAACCTACTGGGAGCTCCTGAGCAATGGCGAACGCCTGAGCCAAGGTAAGGGAGAGAGTGCTAGAAAGCCCCACAGAGTGACAATGCCCCAAACATCCAGATGTGAGGGGCTGAGCTTTGGTGGGGAATGTGCCAAGGCATTGGGAAAGTGAGACTCTTGCTTTCAGCTCAGACCATGATCTCAGGGTTGTGAGATCAAGCCCCCTGTAGGGCTCCACACTCAGTGGGGAGTCTGCCTGAAATTCTCTCCCTCTCCCTCTGCCCCTCCCCCTGCTCCTGCTCTCTTTCTCTCTAAAATAAATAAATCATTTAAAAAAATCATTTGGCCCACTTCTCGTTCTTCCTTTTCAGGAGTTGGTAGTTATGTTGTCCATGCAGGAGATGATTTGGAGATTCGTTGGAGCACATACTAATAAATTCAAACCTTCCTCAGCTGGATCAAATCATTTGCAGTGGACTTGCAGGCAGATGTTGGCCTCATGCCATCCTTTTCACTCATCTCAGTTTCAACAGAGGGTCAATAACCTCCCCTTCTCTCTTTGTGTGTTCAATAAAAGATCGACAGCAATATAAAAAGAGCATGTTCTAATCATTTCAGTTTAAAGGGTGATTATTGATAGAGGGAAGACCACTGTAGGAAGAGGGAAGGGAAAAGAGATTAGACCCCGTGTCTAAGCTGATTTCTACTCAAGGTTCGACTGCAAACTGTGTGGGTGAACTTGGGCAGTGGGTGAGAATAGAGATGAGGTTCTAGATCTAATGTTGAAGCAGCAGCCAATGAGATCAGGTAGAAAATCTGTAGGGAGACAGCTCTCTGAGGCCCAGATGTAAGGGACAAACCGAGGGGACATATTGAAGTCCACTTAGAAAGGCAGTGGGTAGAGATAAATACTGCTCTGGAGAAAGACAGAAAGATGAGGCTTCTACACAAAAGGCCAGTCCATAAAGTCTCAGGAATAATATCATCCCCTCCTCCAGCTATCTCCCTTGGGGTCCATTTGTTGTTCCTCCACATGTATTTTCCTTTTACTTCCCCATAAAATCACTCTGATATTTATATCATCAAAATACACATGCAGAAAAACTCACCTTTGATGTTCATTTCAGTAGAATTCACATTTTAAAAAATATATATATTAAATCAGGGGCACCTAGGGGTGCCTGGGTGGCTCAGACAGTTAGGTGTCCCACTCTTGATTTCAGCTCAGGTCATGATCTCAGTGTTGTGAGATGGAGCCCCAGGGTGAGCCCTACACTGAGCACCAAGTATGCTGGAGATTCCTTCCACACCTCCATCTCCTTCCCCCTCTGCTCCTTACCCTGCTCACAAACACTCTCTCTAAAATGAATAAATAAATAAAATCTTTAAATAAAGAAATCCCCAGAAGGAAGATGCCTTCAGGAAGAATTAAATAATTTTATCAATGCCTCCCTCATTCTTCCTGTGTTTCCTTCATGATACTCTTAGCTTCCTCCCCTCCACCAGTGGTACTGATCCTCAACCCTCAGGGTCAACTCCACTCTATTCTTCATTAACTGGGTATGACAGATAATTAGACAGCAATGGATTCTATCCCCTTGGGTCTGTATCTCATCTTGAAAGCTAAGTTAGAGATGGGGGACCTCCATGGCACTGTTTACATGGGGCAGTGCTGTTAGACCTGTTTGTGGACTCTACAAACTATGTGAAATTGAGGGATAATGGCTTATAGTGACAAATATGCAAAATGTTATCACTGCCATTCCTATCATAAACAGTGTAACCATGCAACTTAACATCCAACCACAACTGCTGTAAAGAGTAAAATTTATTAACACTGTTAATAATTATACTCAAAAAGACAGATTAAAAACTGGTAGTATCCTGGAAAAAACAGTACATACGGTTGGTTTGTCCAACAGGAAGAATAAGGAAGCTCAAGCAAAAAATAACAGAAAGTATCGACCCTACAATAGACTGATGAAACTGAATCTCCATATAACAAATTTAGAATAGGTCCCTTTGAGATTGAGATTCTCTCTCAACAATTTTAGCTCACTTTCAATAATAACCAGTCAACACTGGTAAAGCACACAATTTGTATTAGACCTATTCTCCCAAATGTGGTATAAGGATATTCTAATTGGCACGTTGACAGGGATCCAAATAACAGGCAATCACAGCATTAAAAAGTCATGTCCTTTGTAATTCTCATTTAATTCCTCTCATTCGATTAAACATAAAATCTCACTTTATGCCACTGTGATTCTAACACTTCCTTGTAGCACTGTGAGCCTCCATTCTTTTTTTTTTTAAAGATTTTATTTATTTATTTGAGAGAGAGGGAATGAGAGATAGAGAGCACGAGAGGGAAGAGGGTCAGAGGGAGAAGCAGACTCCCTGCTAAGCAGGGAGCCCGATGTGAGACTCGATCCCGGGACTCCAGGATCATGACCTGAGCCAAAGGCAGTCGCTTAACCAACTGAGCCACCCAGGCGCCCATGTGTTCTTAACAGACAGAGCTGAGTTCTTCCCAACCAGTGGTCCCACAGCAGAATATAGTAACATTGCAGAGACAGACATGGAGGGAAAGGGAGTAACATTCCCTTCACGTTCTACTGACATTGCCCAGGGAATCCTAGTTCTGGCCACCCTTGCCTTATGAGAAGCTCTAAAGCTTAGCACTATGACAGACCTGAGACTAAGCCTGAGGCGAGAAATCTCCCTCTGCTGCTGCAGCAGAAAATAATCAACACAAATAAACCTCTCAGATGTCCATTGAGAGTCTGGGTGCTTGGATACCAGAAAATGAGGCACAGGAGAAAACAGGCAAACAAATTAATTAATAAGTTTCATTCAAGGGGCACCTGGGTGGCTCAGTCAATTAAGTGTCCAACTCTTGATTTAGGTTCAGGTCATGATCTCAGGGTTGTGAGACTGAGCCCCACAACAGGCTCCACATTGAGCATGGAGCCTGCTTAAGATTCTCTCTCTCTGTCTCTGCCTCTCTCCCTCCCACCCCCATATCCCACTCTCCCTTACAAAACAAAGTTCACTCAATAGTTAGCCAAGGACTATCAAAATATATGAGTTAAGAAATGTATGGCCTGTGTGGTTCCTGTTGTGGAAGTTATTTGCTAAGTGAGACAATTGTATCATAATCAGTCTCGCAGCAACCATGGCTATAAATGGCAATTTATAAGGAAATGTGTGTTTAAGGAGCAGGCACACCAAGGGGGTGTGGCTCATCTCTGGACCGTCACGAGCAGGCTCTGGAACCCAAGGTCAATGCCATGCTGGGATCCTAATCCTGTGTTAGAGTCTTATTGCTGCTGCAACAAATTACCACTGATTACTGGCTTAAGACAAACATATCATCGTACAGTTCTGGAGGTCAGGAGTCAGAAATGGATCTCACTGGGATAAAATCAAGGTGTTGAAAGGCTGCATTCCTTCTAGAGGTTCTAGGGGAGAATCCGTTTCCTTGCCTTTTCCAGCTTCTGGGAGAGGCCAGCATTCCTCCACCTTCAAAGCCAGCACTTGTATCATTCCGACCTCTGTTCCCATCACCACATCCCCTTCTCCGACTCACTCTCCTGCCTCCCTCTTCCACTTATAAGGACCTCTGATTACAGTGGGTCCACCGAGAAAATCCAAAATAATCTTCTATGTAAGAATCAGCTCATTAGCAACCTTAGTTCCCACTTACCATGTGACCTAACATATTCACAAGTTCCAGGGATTAGGATGTGGGTATGGGGGGGGTGCATTATTGTGCCCACCACTCCTTCACATGGCATGTGAAGCCCTCAAATTGTCTTTCTGGCCTCATCTCCCACCATATGCCATGTATTAGTTAATAATACAAGTCACCCTAAAATTTAATGGCTTAAAACAACAAGATGTACTATCTCACGGTTTCTGTGGGTCAGGGTCTCTCAATGAGACCACAATCAAGATGTCAACTGAGGCTTCCTCTGAAAGCTCAACTGGGGAAGAATCAGCTTTCAAGCTCATTCACATCGTTGTTGACAGGATTCCTCCCTCCCTGGCTGTTGACTGGAGGTTGCTCCCCATTCTTTGCCATATAGGTTTCTCCATCAGGCAGCTCAAAATGTGGCAGCTGGCTTTCTCAGAGCAAGAAGCAAGAAGAGCCAGAGAGAGATGGCAAGCAAGAGGGAAGTTGGACTTTTGCCACCTCATCTTATAACTTTTGTTGTATTACATTCATGAGAAGTGAGGCCAGCCCTCACTCTGGAGAAGGGGATTTCACAATGGTGTGACTACCAGGAGGTGGAAACTTGGAGCCATGTTAGAAGCTGTCTGGTGCACTCCAATATGTGTCCTGTGCTTTCGTCTCACAAAACCACTAACATTCCCCCAAGAAAGAAAAAAAAAATGCTTTAAAGTCCATGTCATATTTGTTCATTAATTTGCTCATCTAAAAATTATTTATTCTGTTGCTACTGTGAACTAGGTAGTAGCTCAAGGGCTGGAGATAGAACAGTAAACAAGAGACAAAGACCCTTCCTCCTCAGAGTGGACATTCGAGTGGAGAGGAAGACATACAGTAAAACCACATGCACAGTGTGACAGAGGGTGAGGAGGAGTCATAGCAGGTAAGGGGCCCAGTGGGTGTCCATGGGGGTGAGGCTGTCTTCTACATGAGAGAGATGGTCTGGGAAGACCTCTCTGAAAACTGGCTTTTGAGCAAAGACATGAAGGAAGTGTGGGAGCCACTGTGAGACTATTTGGAGGAGGAGTGTTCTGGGCAGTGGGGACAGCAAATGCAAAGGCAGGTCATGGGTTCAGGGAGCAACAAGTAGCTCAGTGCAGCTGGAACAGACGGAGAAAGGGAGAAAGCAGTCGGAGGGGAGGTCCAAAAGACAACCAGGAGCCAGAACTTACAGGGCCTTGTCATTAGAAAGGACTTTGAATTTTATTCTAAGGTGGGAGCCACTGAAGAATGTCCCCCTAAAAGAAGCTGCTTAAAATCCAGTAGTTACAAAAAAAATTAGCCCCTCCCTTCATAATCTCAAGATATTATTTCTAGTTGTATGTTATAGGGAGGTATACATTGCTTTAATATAGCTGCATTTCTGAAATATATATATATATACTTAATATTTAAATATAGTTCATTGATCCACATTTTCTAATTATTTAATTTAAAAGATAGTATCTGAAGGCCCTGGGTGTTTGAAACTGCTTTGTCCCCAAATAAGGAAAGAGAAATCAAATAAAACAGTCTCTGGGTGGGGCACGTGGGTGGTTCAAGTTGGTTAAGCATCTGACGTTTGATCTCAGCTCAGGTCTTGATCTCAGGGTCATGAGTTGGAGCTCCCATTAGGCTCCGTGCTGGACGTGGAGCCTACTTTAAAAAAAAATTTTTTTTAATAAAATTTCTGGGAAACTCGGGTCCATTGCTTGCCT